TCCATAAAGCAGTCTGTGATGTTGTCAATGTCCTCTTCATGAGAAGCAAAAAGCTCTTCCCACACAGTGGAGCTGAAACAGTCTCTCAGAGCTTCTTCTGTCTCCTCGGTCCATTTCCTCGCTGTATGTGTCACCACTGGTTCCCTGCRAACCAGAGGTTTATACACAGGCTGGAGATGAACCAGGTTATGATCTGAGCCCCCCTGGGGAGGCAGAGTTGATGAACTATATGCATCCTTGGTGTTGACATACAGCAGATCCAGTGTGCTGGTATTTCTGGTGTGGCAGGTGACATACTGGGTGAAGTTAGGGAGAGTAGAGGACAGAGAAACATGATCAAAGATCCCAGAAATCAGAAAGAGAGCCTGTGGATGCTGTGTTTGGAGTCTGCTGGTTGTTGTGTGAAGGACATCACATGTTGTAGCAGCATTAACAGAGGGTGGGACGTACACAGTTATTACAATAACATGTGAAAACTCTAGAGGAAGACAGTACGGCCTCATACTAACAACTAACAGTTCAATGTCCTTACGGCAGAGCACCTCCTTGATGGTTACATGTCCAGAATTACACCATCTCTTATTCACAAACACAGCCAGACCCCCTCCTCTCTTCTTACCACTCTCTGGTTCTGTCGGCACAAATTGAGTGAAAGCCGTCCATGTTTATGTGTGAGTCCGGAGTTTGCAATGTCAGGCACATCTCCATCAGGTAGATGAGGCTGGCCTCTCAGTAGCTCCTTTAATGACRCATTAGGGCCACCAGCTCATCCACTTTGTTGGGAAGTGATCTTACATTCTCCATGATAACGAGCGGGATGGTGGGTCTGTATCTCCTTCCCATGTTGCGATGCCCGATACCTGCACGCCTGCCCCGTCTCTTCCTTCTTAGTTTGCAAGGGACATTGGGTCATTCACTAGGAGGAGGTACAGCAGAGCTACCTAAGGAGAGCAGCTGGTCCCAAGTGTAAACAATAGGAGCGTGGTCTCTCACAGTTTCCCGACACAAAAACTAAAAGAAGGGAGAATAAAAGCAATGTTTCCAAGAAAAAAGTCAGCTCCATTTGTGAGCAAAAATGTAGTAATATACAAATAATAAAAACAAATATAGAAAAATGGACTAAAAACTAAAAAAAAAACGAGTTTGTGCTGAGCTGCTGGTACGGCTGCCTGCTCGTGCGGCGCCGGAAGGAAGATAATATAGGAGGTCATTGTGGACTATTGGACATCAATATTGACTATAGGAGATCATTGTGGACTATAGGAGGTCATTGTAGACTATAGGAGGTCATTGTGGACTATTGGAGGTCATTGTAGACTATAAAAGGTCATTGTGGACTATTGGAAGTCATTGTGGATTATAGGAGATCATTGTAGACTATATGAGGTCATTGTGAACTACTGGACATCATTGTCGACTATAGGAGGTCATTGTGGATTATAGGAGGTCATTGTGGATTATAGGAGGTCATTGTCGACTATTTTCAATTCAGTTCAATTCAAAAATACTTTATTGATCCCAGAGGGAAATTARGTAATATGAGGTCATTGTGGACTATTGGACATCATTGTTGACTATAGGARGTCATTGTWGACTATAGGAGGTCATTGTGGATTATAGGAGGTCATTGTCGACTATAGGATGTCATTGTGGACTTTTGGATATCATTGTGAACTACTGTATATGACATCAATGGTTGAACCTCAGATTCAGTAGGAATAATGTGGGTTCCATCTTGGCCATGGAACACTGGACCAACTCTTTACCCTCACTAGAGTTCTCAAGAGGTCATGGGAGGTTGCTAATTCAGACTACATGTGTTTTGTGTACTTGGAGAAAGCATTCAAGGTACACTGTGGGGTTCACATCGTTGTCAGTCAGACAGGGTATATTGATCTCTCCAGTTTGGAGGTGGGGGTTCTGCCTCAATTGGAGTTCAAAAGTCTTGGGATTTTGTTCACAGTGAGGGAAGAATGGAGTGTGAGATTGATAAATGGAACAGTGCAGTTTCCTTAGTTTTGCGGACTCTTTACTGGTCTGTTGTGGTGAAGAGGGAGCTGAGCTGTAAGGCAAAACTCTCTGATTAGCAGTTGGTCTACATTCTTACCCTCATCTATGGCGATGAAGTTTGGTTAGTGACCGAAAAAACAAGATCACTGATACAGGAGGTTAAAATGAGTTTTCTCTGCAGGGTAGCTGGACAGGCTGAGAAGTTCAGTTCTCCAGGAGAGACTCAAAGTAGAACTGCTGCTCCTTCACATCCAGAGGAGCCAGTTGAGGTGGTTCATCAGATGCCTCCTGGACTCCTTCTAGAAAGGTTCTCTGGGCTTGTCTGACTGGGAGGAGACCCCAAAGAAGACCTAAGACACACTGGAGAGAATATGTCTGTATTCAAATTCAGGGACAGCGTCCTTCAAAGGACCCGACCCACCCAGTCTWGGTGGGTCAAGTCCTTTGCAGACTGAGAAGATCAGAGAAAAGTGTCTGTGAATTTGGACAGTTTAGCCTTCTGTGAATGTCCTGTCACCTAGCTAACCTGACAACACCAAACAGAAGCAAAAAAAAAGATGGGAAGTAGCAAAATGTTAAATAATATTGATATGACTAATATTATAAATAAAAAAATAGTTTAGAAACAACACTTGAAGATCTAGTTGACCCGCTGTAGGTGCTCGTTTGATTTCTGACAAGAATAATATTAAAAATACGTCAATGCAAAGACAAAAGCTTTACCAACACTACTTTAAACTTTCAATTTTTATGCCTGCAGACTTTTATTAAAATGTACCCCTTTCTCTAACTTAATCCAACATTACAAGCAAAAACAATTCTCTAGTCAGCCCACAATCCAAGGATTCAAAGGTTTGACCTATGAAGACCACTTCTGCAGAAACAGAAAGGGTTGTACTCACCATAAACTACCAAACTTATTAAAAACTTTTATTATTATTATAGAAATTATCCTTCTAGTTCACTCTTACCAGGGGGCATGGTATGTGTGTTTGTGTAGGCGGGTATTCCCTACTATGTGGRGACCACGTTTGACACACCTTCCTGTGGGGACCAACTGGTACTTATGGGGACCTAAGCCTAGTCCCCATTGGTGGGTCAGGGGTTAGGCTGTATAAGTTAATGGAAGTCGATGCAATGTCCTTTTAAAGATAGCTGTACCAGACGGTGTGTGTGTGTGTGTGTGTGTGTGTGTGTGTGTGTGTGTGTGTCAGTGAGTGATTGGGACTGACAGCAGCCTCTGTATTGCTGGGTGGCCTGCAGATTAAGCTGGCCTGTTTTAGACACTCTAATCTGGATTAAGAGCAGCAGTGTGTCAGTGGGGACGAGAACTGGAGGTTCTCCCCCTCCACCCGCTGTCCCTTCAACTGCTTGTCCTCCAAACCCCTAACCTGCCCCTCCCCTCCTTCCACCCACCTGTGGTCTCTAAGGGTTCAGGTCCCAGGCAGCCCGTCAGGATGCTGATCCAGACCTGTGTCGAGACTTAAAACCCGAAAGGTTTGCTGGGATTGTTTTGAACGTGGCTGAGTGCGTCCAGCTTTAGGGGGAGGGCAGTTGGACAGGGATTAAAGCAGCTCAGTCCTCTTGCCTACTTCCCTCTTTGATTTAAAGACAAGCTGTTGAGCCCAGAACCCTCTGCCCTCATCAGACTCAGTGTTCATGGTCCTGTTTCAGTTCTGAAAGACAATAAATCACAGAAACTCACTTGCAGTGATTTTATAAAGGTCTTTCTATGGTAAAACACCGATAATCCATGTCTGAACATCTGAAATAAAAAGTAAAGAAACAAAAAACAATATTTAAAATAATCTCAGTGAACAATGACCAGAACCTGAACATGGACATATTTATGTCTTTAACTCACTTTCTGAGGCTTATTCTGTTGATTTAATCATGTGTACAAACCAACGTGCATCAGTTACCAGCAGTTAGTGTGATTAGTTTATGTGTTGTTCAGAGGGTTGTTCGTGAGGCTGACGAGGCATCGAGTTACCACACAAGGAGAACACAGAGGAGAGCTGATGAGACGAGAGGCTGCAGCTGTGGCAGGTGAAACAGGACAGGTGGAGATGGGCGTGGCAGCTGACTGAACACACGGCTGTTTTTTTTGTAGCAGTTCAACATCAACCATCAGAATCTCTGACACCAGAACTGTCAGAATCCAGGTGTCAGACTGGCTCACTGAGAGTCCAGTGTACTTTATTACACGTATACATAAACAATAAACGAAATAAAATGAATCCATGTAAACATTTTTGTTTGTTTGTTTGTTTGCCACAATAAACATTGATAATCAAAGTTTCCTTATGTGAGGAGAGGCTCAAAGGAACACATCAAGACCAATCGAACAAAAACACAACAGAACCAAACACAAGAATCATAAAAGATCAGCCAAAACTGAATAAACTCAACTATCAACACAAAATACTACCAAAACACACAAATACTGATGGTATATTTACGTTAAGTATTTAATGTTAAACAGAAAAAACAGAATGAGCATCAACCTCTGGTGGACCTGTCTGGTCTCAGCTCGTTTTGTCTTCTGTCTTCTTATTGTCCCTGTCCTCTGACCTGTCCCTGTTCCAGCACCAAACCATGGCTCTGTCCTCCTGTTCATCTGAACAGAATGAAGCCTGTTCACCTGTGTGAGGGGTCAGGGTGGTTCTGGTTCTGGTGCAGGATGATCAGAGACCCACAGCGGGAGTGAAGAAATAAACTTTTTAACGGAATTTACAGCAAAATATTTGGCTTTAATAGAAAGCTTAGTTACCATGAGTACTAGGTTTGTTTGCAATAAAATAAAGAATATTTGTGATAAAATCGAATAAAATGATGGTTTTAGAGTTTAAATAAGAAATCTTGATTAAAGGATAATTTGAGACTCTTCAGGCTGTTGCTGTTTTGTGCGCGTGCGCCGTTTGTGTTCGTGGAGGTGGGTGGGGGTGGAGTGGGGTTAAGCCGGTAATTACCAGCGCGTGCGGGTAAAGGCACACAGTGGACCGACCTCTCCAAGGCACCAGTCCACCTGCACGGTTCTGTGAACGGCGTATTGGTTCTGACCTGGTAGAGCTGTTCTGCTGCTCAGGTCCCGGTTCGCTGAAGCCTTAAGCGTGCTTTAGGAAAGAAGAAAAGAAAAGAAAACTTTGTCCGCAGCGCTGCCCAGCTGCAGCAGGACCTGCAGTCAGGATGATGTCCTACATCAAACAGCCTCATTACACCATGAACGGGCTGAACCTGCCCGCTGCTGGGATGGATGTCCTGCACACAACCGTGGCCTATCCACGTATGTACATTTACTGGTTCATGTTAAAGGCTTTAGTTAATACTAAAGGTTTTATAACTTTGCTTTTGCTTTTCTTTGTTTTGTTTTTTGTAGTTAGATTTTATTTGCGTCTCATTTGATGCTTAAAGACGCACAGACTGATGGAGCCTAATGGAATACATGATTTATTTAGACATTTATGTTAATAATGACGACGACAATAAACACAGTGATATCATGTTTGGAACAATTTTAACAAATAATCCATGTGTTGAAAAATGAGAGAAAATTAGATTTACTTTTTTATATCTATTCAGTTGTTTATGTGAATGAAGGTGAAATACTGAGGGAGCATACACACATATTCAAAACAATTGTAGTTTTAGAATGAAAATACATTTTTCAAATAAATACTTTTTGATTTATTAGAATTTGGTTTAGTTTCATATTTGCTGGGCTCCATAATCTGTTTCCTGTGGTTTCTCTGGGCTGCAGCCACTCCTCGGAAGCAGCGCAGAGAGCGCACCACCTTCACTCGGACACAGCTGGATATCCTGGAGGCCCTGTTCTCCAAGACCCGCTACCCAGACATCTTCATGAGAGAGGAGGTGGCCCTGAAGATCAACCTGCCTGAGTCCCGTGTGCAGGTACAAATCGGACTTGGTTCTGTTAGGCATCTGTTATTAAGATACCTGACCAGAGATTGCAGTAGCTCAGTGGTCTGCCGTGCCTTAGCGATCCTGACACTGCAGGTATGAGCCCAGGTTGCATCAAAAAGTATGTCCAGTGTTAAAAAAAATTCAGACCCAACATATACCTGATCCTAACATGGACCTATTTGCCCCTTTTCCATTAGTACCTCTACAGCACAGTTCAACTTGGATTTCCATGGTTCCAAAGCTTTTCTATTACCAAAGATTTGTAGAACCAGCACGTTTTTCAGAACTTTCTTCGCTGTGGTTCATGTGTACCGTGCTGGCCTGAAAATGCGACACCAGAAGACTGTCACTGATTGACTGGGGGGTGGAGTCACTGGTTGCGTCACGAGCTACTCTCACAACAATCTGATCCACCATTTGCAGTAAAACTACCATTGTTGTGTTGCGTTTCTTTTCAGGTTTTTTTTTCTTCTTCTACTACATTTAATGGCAGTTGGCAAAAAGCCTAATGGAGCAGAACKGCCACCAAGGTGTGTGGCATCAATTATCGGACTCCGAGACCACCCAACTTTACCATGAACCCACCAACTAGAGCTGTTACTGAAGTGCAATGAAAACCCATCTGAACCATGCTGTAGAGGCATTAGTGGAAATGGACCTGATCCTAACATAGACACACACACCTGATTGTAACACCACCTTTTTTTTCACAGAAATATAAACACACTAAATCATTTATTTATTTATTTATTTATTTATTTATTTATTTATTTATTTGTTGTTGTTGTTGTTGTTGTTGTTGTTGTTGTTGTTGTTGTTGATGTTGTTGTTGTTGCTTTTGTGAGGCTTCCGGTCAGTGGCTTGCTAATTAACTTTTCACCGTATTTTCTGTTTTTAATGTTTTACGGCCCTTGATGTCACAGTTATATAGAAAATACGGACAGATTATAGTGACAGCTGTAAACTGTCCATATGTTATCATTTTTATAGACTTATTTTCACGTTAAAGATATCCGTTATGTTAGTTCAATCCCCAAAATTTAGTACTGCTATCTATAGTAAATAAAACTAAAAGACATCAATCTAATCACAGTGAGGCAACAGTTAGTATGTTTTGGCACAGAACAGAAAATTTATTGGCCTTCCTTCTATAAGATCATCATTGCCTGACTGCAGGACTTCCCCTGACCCACGACACAGGAGTACCTGGCCATCTCAATAGTGCCGGTTGATGTAATGAGGATCCATGCAGTTAAAGAGTAACTTACCCCAAAATTAACTTTTTTTAGCTGATAAACTGTCTAGAATGTGTCTAAAATGTTATATAG